GTTCCCTCCCCATTCCAGGGGAAGGATACTGTAAAATCTCCGTTCCCTCCCCATTCCAGGGGAAGGATACTGTAAAATCCTTATTCCCTCCCGATCAGCTGGAACTCTGGAGGCAGCAAATAGGTGGGGGTGTGGCCAGTCAGAGGTGGTATTTACTGGTTCTCCAAACTACTCAAAATGTCCACTACCTGTTCTCCAGAACTGGTCAGAACCTGCTGAATACCACCTCTGGTCAGAGTGAATGGAATGGAAGATGATACAATAAAGGAAATTGAATGGCATGTTAAATGTATTTGGCAGGCTTTTGGCAAGCTAGGCATAATTTTCAAGAACAACCCTCTCCTTTGCCTGAAAGTGTGTGCTCCCTGCTCTTACATATGCTACTGAAACAGGGACACTAAACTCACAATCGAAACAAAAGCTAAGAGTGGCGCAAAGAGCTATGGAAAGATACATGCGTGGTTTTACAAGACAAGATAGAAAGACTTGCACATGGATTAGAGAACAAAGCAAAGTATACAGTATCAGCAAGCGAGTAAAAGAATTGAAATGGAAATGGGCTGATCACATAGCCAGAAGAACTGATGGCAATTGATGGGCCAAGGTGGTCATAGAATGGATCCCACGTGATAAAAAGCATCCAGGAAAGAGACCTAAAACAAGATGGATCGATGACATCAGCAAGTATTGCAGGCCCAATTGACAAAAGAAAGCTCAGGTCCATATTGGTTGGGAACATGCGGAAGAGGCCTTCATCCTATAGTGGATAAACAATGGGCTGAAATGATATGGATGAGGATAGATCAGAGTAGGGTTTGCTGAAAACACAGAGCACTATTTTGCGAAGTGGGTTTCATAAAATTATTGTTTATGGGAATTTTGTGTGTGTGTTTGCTTGTGTTTGTAGATCTTGGGAAAAAGAACCTTAACTTCTGTGTTAGCTAAGAAGTATAAGAATAGGATTCTTGGGATATAGGACAACAAATGTGTTAGATCGGGTGAATGGATGAGGCAGACTCAGGATTCAGCAACAACAGCTCTGTATTAAGTAGCAACTATGTACAATCCAGCAAAGCCTCTGTCTGGCGGCATCCCTTTTATAGGGAGCTGTCAGACCCTTCAACCAATCAGATTTGAATACTGTTCCTGCCGGAACAGAGGACCTTGGTGGAAACTCCTATACTGATTTTCAGTATGTAACAAAATGCTTCTCTTTTAATATTGTTCTGCTTTGTGAATTTATTTTGCCCTAAAAATAACATTTTAAAATTATAAATAGGATGCCTACTAATTTTCTCCTTTGTGGCATGACTACATATATGTACTGATTCCATCAAGGTTTTTCTTTCTTTTTTTTGCATGTGTTTAGTGATACTACCATAAATTATTTGATACTAGTAAAATAGGAGCTTAACAAGAGGGAGCTGAGCAGCAGGGTTGCAGAACAGGCATAGTCTCGGTTTACCAATTGTGGTCAGTAAAGGAAGAGAAAACTTCCTTCACTTTCTTTGTAGCCTTTAATAATGTGAGGGAAACAATTTTCAGACATCATGTGTTCCGAACAAAGCTTGCAAACAAAGCAATTCCTATCTGCACTTTGAAAAGCACTTCTGTCCCTGAGGCAAGCCAAACCCGAGAAAGTTCCTAAATTAAAATGCTAAACCAATCAAGGACACCTCCACAAGTGTATATAAGCATTCGCTTTGAGGTCGTGTGCTAGAGGGCTGCACTCTCTGCTTTACTTCTGTTGCACCTGTTCCCTTGGATCAACCATCCCGTCGTGTCCCAATGACTCATCAGGTGTCCGCAACCAGGAATACCTTCCTAAGGGGAAGGGGGTTCAGCTCTGCCTCTGCTCTCGGTGGACTTAGTGGACAAAGGACCTATGTTGCCTCCATGTACCATCCCATGGGCAGCGGAGGTGGGGTCCACGGTTTCAGCAGTCAAAGCCTTTCCAACTTGGGTGGAAGAGGAAGAATTGCGCATGGATATTATGGTGGCCACAACTATGGTTGTGCAAGTTATGGTAGCCCTGCCTTTGTTGGCCCAGTGGGTCATTATGGCCCAGTTGGAAGCTTTGGGATGTTTGGTGGATACTCAAATGGCAGGGGGGATGGCATCCATGGCGTTAGAATCAACGAGAAGCTTCTGAAGCCATTGCACGTGGGAGTTGACCCTCAAGAACATATTCTACGAGATCATGAAAGGGAAGAGATGAAGTGCCTCAACAACGAGTTTGCCTCCTTCATTGACAAGGTGAGGAAATCGCTTTCTCTTTGACTTGAAGGGTTTTTAAAAAAATAAAAGGTATAAAGTCCCATGAGATACATTAACTGTTTCACTAGGTATCATTTGAGCTTTTGGGCGAACTGGTAGTGGAAATTGCGACAGGGTCACTGAACCAGTAGGGATGGCACACCCGAACCGGTTCCCCGGTCACCACAGCATAGGTTTTTTTGTCATTTTTCATGTTCTGCGCATGCGCAGACCTATTTACATGCAACTGTGCATGCATGTACACCAAACCATCAGTAATGCCGGCAGAAATGCACCCCTGATTATCTTACCTCTTAATATACTTTGGTCTATTCTTTTTTTAAAAAGTCTGAACATCCACACTTTCTCTAATGCCCATTTTCACTAAAATGTTTAGCTATCGAATTAAAAGCAATAAACCATAAATAACTCAGAATTTAATATGTTGATCACTCAGTTACTTAAATCAGAGAGCAGTTCTAAAGTGGAGAGATCCATAGCAGAGCTTTTGCTGCTTCCTAAGCAATCTTGGTCTGTGTTAGCCAGAGTACAGAGTATGGTACGAGGAGATCTTCTTTCTCCTTTCATATTGGTTTACTTCAGGGGTGAAATCAACTGACCTTTGCTACCGGTTTGCAAATGTGAGCATGCGCATGCGCAGAGCGTCAAAAATGGAACATGATGACATCCGGGTGGGTGGGCAGAGCCTCCCTCCGCCAGCGCTACCAGTTCACTCGAACCAGATAGAACCGGCTGAATTTTACCACTGGTTTGCTTAAGAAGCCATTCAATATGCTACCTATAACACTGGAAGAATTTCTTGCTCTGTTGGAGGAAGTATCAGGAAGTGAGGGTGTAGACTCCTGGTGAGCTTGATCATCTATGAAACACCCAAACCAAGCTAACTGTGCCCTTTTTGATTTACACCATTGCAAACTTTTGACGGCTACTGATGGGGAAAATTCCCACTGTTACTCTTTGGGCTTCTATTTTTACTCCAAGGGGAGATTGCAACATAGAACGAAAGTCTAAGGCTTTATTTTTCAAAGTTGGCAACTAATAATATTGATTCTGAATTATTCAATAAAGTTCGGTCGAAAGGATGCTTTTTTGAAATGTGAATCTGCTGCATAAACCATAATCTGGTGTCCACTCATTATCAATCCCTCATGTATTGAATCATTAGTCAGTCATTCCAAATTCTTCATCATCCCATCATTTAATTTGTTTTTAAAAAAATCACCCTTCAAATATCCATTTATTTTGTGCCCAAATTTCCCTACCGTGCAATTTTGTATGCAACTTCCCTATATATGCATCTCTCTCTCTCTCTCTCTCTCTCTCTCCATCCATCCATCCATCCATCCATCCATCCATCCATCCA